CATACCTATCAACAATTACTTCAAACGTAAATAGACTAAATTCTCCAATCAAAAGACAGAGAGTGGCTGAATGGATAAAAAAACAAGAGCCATGTCTACATGCTACCTACAAGAGACTCACTTCAAATGTAGGACACATTCAGATTGAAAGTGAAGGGATGGAAAAAGATATTACAAGCAAATGGAAATCAAAAGCAAGCTGGGGTAACTATACTTATAACAGACAAAATAGACTTTAACACAAAGGGTATAACAAGAGATAAAGAAGATCATTATATAATGATAAAGGGGTCAAACCAACAAGAGAATATAACATTTGTAAATATTTACGCACCCAACAGAGGAGCACCCAAATATATAAAGCAAATATTAATAGACTTGAAGGAAGAAATAGACAACACTACAATAATAGTAGGGGACTTTAATACCCCACTTTCATCAACAGATAGATCATCCAGACAGAAAATCAGTAAGGAAACATTGGCCTTAAATGACACATTAGATCAGATGGACTTAACAGACATATACAGACTATTCCATCTAAAAGCAAAAGAATACACATTCTCCTCAAGCACACATGAAACATTCTCCAGGATAGATCACAGGTTAGGCCACAAAACAAGTCCTAATAAATTTAAGAAGATTGAAATCATGTCATGCATCTTTTCTGACCACAACAGTATGAAATGAGAAATCAATTACAAGAAGAAAACTATAAAATTCACAAATATATGAAGATTAAACAGTATGCTACTGACCAACCAATGAGTCAAAGAAGAAATCAAAAAATACCCTGAAACAAATGAAAATGGAAATACAACATACCAAAACTTAGGTGATGCAGCAAAAGCAGTTCTAAAAGGGAAATTCATAATGATAAATGCTTACATTAATAAACAAGAGAGATCTCAAATAAACAACCCAACTTTATACTTCAAGGAAATAGAAAAGGAACAAACAAAGCCTAAAGTTAGTATAAGGAAGGAAATAACAAAAATCAGAGTGGAAAAAAATGAAATAGAGACTGAAAAGACAAGATCAAGCAAACTAAGAGCTGGTATTTGAAAAAATAAACAAAACAGACAAACTTTTAGCTAGTCTCACCAAGAAAAAAAGCAAAAAGACTCAAATAAATAAAATCAGAAATGAAAGAGATGTTACAACTGATACCATAGAAATACAAAGGGTCATAAGAGACTACTATGAACAATTACATGTACACAAATTAGACAAGCTAGAAGAAATGGATAAGTTCCTAGAAACATACCACCTACCATGACTGAATTATGAAGAAATAGAAAATCTGAATAGACTGATTACTACGAAGGAGATTGAGTCAGTATTCAAAAACCTCCCAACAAACAAAAGTCTAAGACAAGATAGCTTCACCAGTGAATCTTACCAAACATTTAAAGAAGTATTAACACCAATCTTCTCAAACTCTTCCAAAAAATAGAAGAGGAGGGAATATTTCCAAACTTCCATTTTATGAGGACAGCATTACCCTGATACCAAAACCAGACAACGCCACCACAAGAAAAGAAAATTACAGGCCAATATCCCTGATGAACATAGATGAAAAATTCTCAACAAAATATTAGCAAACAGAATTCAACAATACATTAAAAGGATCATGATGGGATTTATTCCAGGGAAGCAAGGATGGTTCAATATCCACAAATCAATCAATGTGATACACTACATTAACACAGTGCAGGATAAAAATCATACAATAATCTCGACAGATGCAGAAAAAGCATCTGACAAAATTCAACATTCACTCACGATAAAACCTCTCAACAAAGTGGGTATACAGAGAATGTACCTCAACATAATAAAGGCCGTATATGACAAACCCACAGCTAACATCATACTCAACAGTGAAAAGCTGAAAACTTTTCCTCAAAGATCAGGAACAAGACAAAGATGTCTACTGTCACCACTTTCATTCAACATAGTATTGGAAGTCCTACCCAGAGCAACTAGGCAAGAAGAAATAAAAGGCATCCAAATTGGAAAGAAAGAAGTAAAACTATCACTATTTGCAGATGGCATATTATATACAGAAAACCCTAAAGATGCCACCAAAAAACTGTTAGAACTAATAAAAAAATTCAGTACAGTTGCAGGATTAAAAATCAATATACAAAAATCAGTTGCATTTCTATACACTAATAACAATCAGAAAGAGAAATTAAGAAAACAATCCCATTTACAATTGCATCCAAAAAAAAAACACCTAGAAATAAATTTAAAAGGAGGTGAAAGATCTGTACACTGAAAACTATAAGACATTGATGAAAGAAATTGAAGAAGACACAAATAAATGGAAAAATAGTCCATGCTTATGGGTTGGAAGAATTAATATTGTTAAAATGTCCACACCATGCAAGCAATCTATAGATTCAATGCAAACCCTATTAAAATTCCAACAGCATTTTTCACAGAAATAGAACAAACAATCCTAATATTTGTATGGAACCACAAAAGACCCCATATAGCCAAAGTAATCTTGAGAAAGAAGAGCAAAGCTGGAGGCCTAATGTTTCCTGATTTCAAACTATTTTACAGAGCTACAGTGATCAAAACAGTATGGTATTGGCATAAAAACAGAGACATAGATCAATAGGACAGAAAAAGAGCCCAGAAATAAACCCACACAAATATGGTCAATTAATTTATGAAAAAGGAGCCAGAAATATACAATGGGGAAAGGACAGTCTCTTTAATAAATGGTGCTGTAAAAACTGGACAGCCACATACAAAAGAATGAAACTGGACCACTATCTTACACCATACACAAAAAATAACTCAAAATGGATTAAAGATTTGAATGTAGGACCTGAAAGCATAATACTCCCAGAAGACAATGGAGGTGGTAAGCTCCTTGACATCGGTCTTGGCGATGATTTTTTGGATTTTACAACAAAAGCCAAAGCAACAAAAGCAAAATTAAACAAGTAGGACAACATCAAACTTAAAAGCTTCTGCACAGCAAAGGAAACCATCAACAAAATGAAAAAGCAACCTACTGAATAGGAGAAAATATTTGCAAATCCTAAGTCTGATAAGGAGTTAATATCCAAAATACATAGAGAACTCACACAACTCAATAGCAAAAAAACAAACAATCCAATTAAAAACTGGGCATAGGACCTGAATAGATATCATTTTCCAAAGAAGACAAATGTCCAACAGGTACATAAAAAGGTGCCCAATATCACTAAACACCAGAGAAATGCAAATCAAAACCACAAGAAGATATCACCTCGTACCGGTTAGAATGGCTATCATCACAAAGACAGGAAATAACAAGTGTTGGCAAGGATGTGGAGAAAAAAGAACACTTGCATACTGTTGATGGGAATGTAAATTGGCGCAGCCACCATGGAAAACAGTATGGAGGTTCCTCAAAAAATGATCCAGTAATTCTACTTCTTGGTATGTATCTGAAGAAAACCAAAACACTAACTCAAAAAAACATATGCATCTCTGTAGTCATTGCAGCATTATTTACAATAGCCAAGACATCAATGGATGAACAGACAAAGAAAATGTGGTATAAAATATAGAATGGAATATTAGCCATAAAAAAGAAGGAAATCCTGTCATTTGTAACCACACAGATGGACCTTGAGGGCATTATGCTAAGTGAAATAAGTCAGATAGAGAAAGACAAATGCTGTATGATCTCACGTATACGTGGAATCTAAAAACAAAAAAACAAAAAAGCCCAGAACATAGCTAGGGAGAACCAGACTGGTGGTTGCCAGAGGCAGAGTCTGGGGGTGAAATGGGTGAAGGTGATCAAAAGGTACAAACTTCTAGTTATAAAATAAATAAGTCCTGGGGATGTAATGTACAGCATGGCAACTATAGTTTTAATACTGTATTGTAAATATGTAAGTTGCTAAGAGAGTAGATCTTAAAGTTCTCATCACAAGAAGAAAAATTTGTAACTATGTGGGGTGATGGATGTTAACTAGACATACTGTGGTAATCATGATATAGACATATATCGAGTCATTATGTTGTACACCTGAAACTAATATAATGTTATATGTCAATTACATCTCAATAAAAAACAGATACTATGGCGCCAGCCCTGTGGCGCAAGCGGTTAAGTGTGCGCGCTCCGCTGGGGCGGCCCAGGGTTCGCCAGTACGGACCCTGGGCGCGCACCGACGCACTGCTTGGCAGGCCATGCTGTGGCGGCGCCCCATATAAAGTGGAGGAAGATGGGCACAGATGTTAGCCCCAGGCCAGTCTTCCTCAGCAAAAAAAGAGGAAGATTGGTGGATGTTAGCACAGGGCTGATCTCCTCACACACAAAAAAAAAAAAAAACAGATACTATGCAAACGCTACAGGTAAAAAAAGAAAAAGAACAAATTAAAAATCTTGCAAAGTAAAAATATAATAATTTAAAATATTTAGTAGACTAATAGGAAAAGTATAGAATTAGAAATTTGGAAAATGTTCTGAGGAACTCACCAAGAACACAATACAGAAATAAATAGATTTTTAAAAATAAAAGTGTAGGGCCCGGCCCCGTGGCTTAGCGGTTAAGTGCGCGCGCTCTGCTACTGGCGGCCCGGGTTCGGATCCTGGGCGCGCACCGATGCACCGCTTCTCCGGCCATGCTGAGGCTGTGTCCCACATACAGCAACTATAAGGATGTGCAACTATGACATACAACTATCTACTGGGGCTTTGGGAGAAAAAATAAATAAATGAAATTATAAAAAAAAATTATTTAAAAATAAAAGTGTAGTTAAAGGACAAGGAGAATAGATTAAGGATTTCCAAAACTACATATTTCAAATAATCATATTACCGCCTTGAGTTACAGCATTATTTTGCAAAACCATTCCAAATTTTGGGGGTGCATTATATAGGGCAATTAGTATACCCTCGAATAAAATGTCTCTTGGTACAATTTTCAGAAAAGAAAAAGGAGACATTCTTTAATGGAGGATTGATAAGACCTTATAATATGTACCTCAATGTCATCCTTATTTTTAAGGAGTGGTGCTTCCATAATATTTCTAAGACAGAAAGAATCAGATTCCACATCAAATGGAGTTTTAGTTAACTCGGATATTCGGTCCCAGTGTCTCTGTTTCATTGCTTTATTGGTCATCATTTCTAGCAGAGGACATGACTCACTGAAATCATCAATTCTTTTTTTCAGATCCAAAAAAGCTTGCCAATCTTTAAGACCTTTTGGAAGTTTACGACATCTTTCAGGGAAAAAAAGAAAAAATTATTTCATCTACACATTTCTTTGAAGAAAGTGTTATGTATATACAGCAATGTATCAGAGGATAAATTCACTGGTGAAATATCTATGGGACCCTAAGAAGATAGGCAATAGAAAAAGGTAAGCTTAATTCAATTGAAACTCACCTGTTTTGAAATTCCTGCAGTTCTGCATTAATTTTTTCAATGTCTACATCTCCCCAAAGCATTTCATAATAACCACTAATATTGCCCATTACAGTATCATACAGTCCATAAAGTTTCTGCAGCAAGTTGAGCTCCTTTCTGGGAAACCAAATAATTAAGTCATTACATAATGTATATTTTAAAAATCAATTCCACTATTGGATAGGCAGAATTCATCCAATCAAAGATTTCATACATTATCTGTGTAATATCTTATAGACACCAACATGCATACAACCCTGTTGGTTTCCAAACCAAGACTTTATTAAAGTTCCATCAATTAGGTCAGGTTTACAGCTCTCAAATATTCCAAATCACACTATGACTTGACATTAACAAATGGTTTGATTATTATTACCATACCAAATTTTGCAAACAATGTGACCAAAACTTGATAACAAGATCAAAGCTAAGGCTAAGGTTTCATTTGATTTTTTTCTTTCAAATGTAAGCTAGATTTTTATGACAATGTCTGCCTTTAAGTATAACTTTAAACATCACTTTCCTACTAAAAGCTTTCCTTCATCTGCCCAAATAAAGGTATATCCAAAACAAGAGTAAAAGGAAGGATTCCAGGTCCAAGTAAAGGAAATGTTCTTTATTGCATAAAACACCAAAAATTGACCACTCAACAAAGTTTGTGGATTCTCCCAGGAATTCCTTAACCTTTAGCATATCATGAGGGTCCACTGGATCCAATTTAAGTTTTTGAGTTTATTTCTTAAGTAGTTCTAACTATTTGTAAGGCTTGATATTCACAACTCATGTTATTTATTATAGATAATCCAGAGGCAAAAGATAATACTTGCTTATGTTTTAAATGGAGTAAAACTCTCTCTATCTTGCAATTACCATATGGGTGCACTGGACCCTTTTATAAATCTGACACATTCTGGAATCTTAGTTATCTTGTTTTTCCAATTCTTGTTTCATTTTGCTAATTCACCACCCTAGGAATTATTTCATTATTAATCACTGATTATTCCCAACTATGCTAAAAATGACTAAAATAATAAGAAAAGAGAAGAATGATAAAATCACCTATAAAGATAAGGCAATAGTGAAAAAAATAATCACTCTTGCATCATCCTTCAGGTTTCTTATTGTGTTATGCAAAGTATTGCATCATCTTTCAAGAAAGCACAAAGAAGAACTCTAGAGATAATATTTTTGTAGTCTTTTGATTTTTGTTTATTTGGCTTTCACTTAATACAGTTAAGAATTCAGAATTTTTCATTTTCTACCTAAAACAGTAAAGAGAAGAAAATTGACAAAGGAAGGTTCTTCCCAAGTATTAAACAGAAAAGAGACATAAAGCAACACTTTAGACTCTAATTTTGACAGTGAACCTGATGGTGTAAGGTAAATCTCAGACTATGAGTCTTTAGATGACAATAACCTAGATGAATTTTATTAAACACAATAATTTATGAGTGAACAATATATTTCAATAGAGGCCAGGGCTTCACCATGCAACAGTTTCCAAAAAGATCCTAGACCATCCCATTCTGTGAAAAAGTGACAGTGTTCTTTCCTTATTTATGATGTCTGCATAGGTCTTATTTGATACAGTCCATAAGTAGACAAATGTTAAAGGCAGATGTGTATTTAAAGGAAACAGATGGTGCAGGAATGAAAAAATTCATTGAATTGATCATTCAAACCTAAAAGTAGAGATTTTTGTATTTATAGTGCAAAGAAGATGGTGATCCTCTCTTCAACAAAATCATGAGTGTCCAAGTTTTCAACAGTCTTGAGTTTTAACAATGAAAGCACAAGAAAAAACAGAAGTAATGATCAGCTAGAAGCTGTTGGAGTTGGATTTGAGACCTGGAATCAGTGTTTACAGGACGGGTATGCTCCAGCTCCATGCATGACAGCTGAGCAGTTGGTTGCATTCAAAAGTTGGTCTCCATTTCATGTATACGTATCTTCAAACCAGGACACTATGGAGTAAAAGTTTGGGTTTTCTCTGCTTAAATTCTTATGAATTTTATAATAAAATTTCTTTTCACCATGCCTTTATTCTTACTTCTGTAAATTATTCATAAATTACTTAAAAGAATAAAAAAATAAAAAGTGTCCATTGGTCCAGATGGTAAGTGAGGATGATTATTTTTCCTAGAATAATGAGAGTTAAAGTAAAACATTGAGTCTCAGACTGAGTGTGCAAAAGAATTAATGAGAGAGTTTATTAAAATGCAGATTTCCTAGGACTCCGTCCCAGAGATTCCGATTCAGTAAGTCAGGGGCGAGGACCAGACATCTGCAGTTCTAACACAATTGGTACCGGGTTAAGCTTGGCAAATGACTACTTTAGAAAAAGAGTACAAACCATCTACCCTAAATGGCTGAAGCATTAATTTATCTGCAGACAATTTCATGTCTATTTTGCCATAATTTTCATGCTGTGACTATAAAAGAAGTCAATATAAAGTTCTCTAAAGCCAAGATCCTAATAAGCTAATATCACTATTTTAATTTTGCCTTTGAGGAAAGTTATATTTAAAATTCTATTAAAATATACTTGTTTAAATCCTAGATCCACTGCTTAAAATCAATTGTTACTGTTTAAAATCAATTAAGTTCCTTGGCCTTCAATCTCAATGAATTCTATGTCTATCCAATGGGGAAGAGCACTTAGCATAAATGCAGTAAGAAGGGATTGAGAGCTGAGGATGGCTGTTCCTCTAAATAAAAAAGTTATCCAAAATTGCTGTGCTTCTGCACCATCATCGACACTAACCAAAAATAGTGAAAATAAAAAAACAAAGCACAGGCTAAATATAGGCCATGAACGCCCAGAATTTTTGCAATATATTTTCTACTCCTAGAACATTGCTTTTGTATATGGAGATTGTGTCTCCAATGGGTCAGGAATAGCCAGGAATAAGGGAAATATTTAGGAGTGTTCCAAGGAAGGATCTTCTCTGCATGATAAAAGATTTAATGATGGATGACATGATTCTTCTAATGGACGGTATTTAATTATCTGCATGTAACGCTTGTACAATTTCTAAACTTACCGGGTTTTGTGTAAAACCTCATAGTCAGTCACAGGCAATCCAAAAAGTTGTTCACCAGATGAATATGTAACAAATTTCCTCCACAGATCATCAAAATTGGCCTATAAAAAGGTTTTTAAATTGTAGTAAAATATAGTTAATTCAGATCCCATTAAAGTAGAATTTGTGATAATCAGAATAAAAGCTATATTGAGGTTTATTTAATAATACCGTGAAACAAGTATTTGTGAAGCAAATTTATACTAATGTCAAGCTATCAGAGGAAAAGTTAAGCACTTAGGAAAATTAACTTTCAAGCATTCTAAAAGTATCCATTTTACATAAAATTATTTCTTTACTAAATTAAGTGGTCCCCAGAAGACATATATTTTAAGTTCTCATAAATACATCTGAAAGCAATAAAACTGCATTTTTAAAAATCTATAATTTAGGCTTTTTTGCTAATTTAAACTGGTCAACTCTCCTACAGTGTTCAAATGAGTAAAGGGTTAGTATAATCCATTCAACCCTGCTCTCTCTACAAGAAATAAAGAGTCTATAAAATGAAGGATTCCATTTTAACACCCTTTGAAATAATTCTAACAATTTAAATCAGCAAAGTTAATGCACACATCTTTTGAATTGGAATTTGAATACTCTCCACTTGGAATGCTAAGTATTAACAGTGTTTAAAGCACAAAAGCAAATAGAAATAATCCACCTGTGACAAGATACCTGTGGTCTACATAAATGGTATAACATATCAATAAGGATCCTAAATTCCCAGCCCTGGAAAATATCTTGCATCAGACCTCACAATGCTCAGATAGTAATATAGATGGGACATATATATTAGCATATTTTGCAGGAGCCAAATCAGGAAGGTGCGACGATGTTGGAGGAACTCCACTGAACTCTTAGTTCCTAGAGGGCAAGGGCCATATTTTTCATTTTTTATATTCCTTGGTGGCTAGTATAGTGGTTACTCAATAAACTTACTGAATGAAGAGTTCATGGGACTGTGTGAACACCAGGAAAGGAGAAACAAAAACTTCCAAGTTAACATACATTCAAATAATGACGTTTAAAATCTTGTTAATGTGGTGAAGACTATTGATGGATGCCAATCACTCACTCTTTTTTCACTCAAGTGCCAAATAATATAAAAAGACCTACAGCACCAGCCAAATGGGGAACAAAATATCAGCTTTGTTGGCAGGCCAGCAGAGTGCCCACTAACTCCCGAAATCAGAGTAAAGCTGCATCAGAGAACACCACTGGGACACAAGGCCCAAGGCAAGGCTCCTGCTTCTTCTCCAGATCTAGATCTTGGCACTTGCTTTTTTGGAGGGCAGAGTGGGCACCTGTTTTTAAAGAGAGATGGGTCTGCAAATCCTACCCTAAGTCACATATCCAGCCAGATGCATAGCAAACATCCTGCTCAGCTCAGACCCCTTAGACATAGGCAGAACAGTAGGGGCAAGAAGACAAGAGATGGGACCTATGGTGTCTTTCCAATGAAGTGACCACACCCCTGGTAAAAGGTGGCACGTTAAAATCCCAGTTGCTGACCAATAAATTGTTAACTCCTGAGGGAAAGATGAGGAAGTGGGTCTACCTTCAAAATATAGCCAGGCTCCAACCACTTTTCATCAACTCCAACGCCACCACTTTGGTCCAAATTACTATCACCTCTCACCTGGATTAGTGCAATAGCCTCCTAATTAGTCTCCTTGCTTCTACCCTTCACTGTCAACAATCTATTCTCAACACAGTAGCCAGGGTGATCCATTGAAAACACAAGTAAGATCATGTCACTCTTCTCGGAGTCAAAGCCAGTGCCCTCCCAGGGGCTGGCAAGTCTTCTACAGTCTGTCCTCTCCTTACCTCTCTGGCCTTATTGCTATTACTCTCTCCTTGCTCATTCTGCTCTAGCCATACTGACCTCCTTGTTGCTTCTCATATATGCTCTCACTTAGCTCCTTTTCACTTGCTCCTTCCCCCACCTGGAAGGCTACTCCTCCAGATATCCGCCTGGCTCATTCCCTTACCTCTCTAGGTCTCTACTCAAATGTCACCTTCCCAAGGGGGCCTTCTCTGGAGACTCTGTTTTAAATTGTACCTCCATTTCACATACACGCAGCCCAGAATTCTATGCCCTTCCTTGCTTTATTTTTTTCCTTGGCACTTATCACCATCGAACATTACTCTATTTCATAATTCATCTTGCTTTTATTGCTAAGGGGTTCCTCATGGCTCAGCTGGCAGCCACCAGGTGAGCAGGTCAGTCTTAGTCTTGGCTCTTCCAGAGAGGCAGGCCTTTCCCTGGGACCCTGGGTCCAAACCTGAGGACTCCAGGTAGCAAAAGATGAGAGCCTCCTCCAGGGTCCAGCATAAACTGCTGGCAAGGGTGGTAGGGGGTGCTGGTTTTAGTCCAAGAGTGACCACCATAGTTCTGGGGAAAGAAGAACCCTGACAACAGCAAGGGACTAGACTTTTTGTCTGAGGACATCATATATAAGCGAAAGGCTTGGGCCTGCTACAACCCATGAAGACTCTAGCCAGCACATGCAACCTACCTTATAGAAATTCACAAGAGCTACTAGGCTAGACCCACTCTTCCGGAAGCCAGGCGGCAGAGACACTGGTCTCTGTGACAGATGATTTCATCTACTTTGCACAAGCTTATTCCACTAAAAACCAACTGCAATTTCTGGTTGCTCCAATGATCCTGGAGAAATATTTTTCTTATCAGGATATGGATTTTCTATTTTAAAACATTCAAATCAAGGGGTATTCCAGTTGATTATGATGGAAAAAGCCTGAACTACCCCTACCACTCTCAGGAGAACCTGCGACTTGAGAGATTCCCTCCAACTCGATTGAACCTTTTTGGCAAAAGGGTGCATGGAACCAGCCTGAACCATCCATGGAAGATACATATAACGCAAGAAGAACAAGATTACTGACTCCACTCCTCCATTTATCCACTTTGGGGTGAAAAACCCAATTATCGAGCGATATGAAGTAACCTCCGACATAAGTAAAGAGATATTTAGAAATACCCACCCACTATGTGGCAAAACTCAGGTATACTGTAGAAAGCCTTCATATGGTTTGATTTGCTGCAAAATTTGGGTATTTCTAGTAAAGGAAAAAACTCTGGTTTTTAGACAGCAGTTCTGCATCTCCTGGTGGGACGACCGTGGAAGCTGCCTGAGTATAAATGCAGGCAGAAATGGGGGCTGGGTGAAGAAAAGAGAAAAGTGAGAGCTAGAGAGGGTGCAGCACAGAGAGAGATTTTTATTATTGCCATTTTAAGAAGGAAAGACAAACAGTTTTTAAAGTGCTGATTGGGAAGATTTAGTAAAGAGGAAGAGTTTAAAAGTCATAGAGAGACAAGGGTCAACCTAAGAAGAGACAAGGGAAATAGTAAAGACGCCCCCTGGACAAGAAGGGGGTCACGTCTCTCTGAAATTTATATCACGGACCCGAAATTTTCTCTGTAAATTTGGAGACAAAGTCATCTGTTCAAACAAATCCCTAAACTACTCCTTCTCCCATGTTTATACTTCAGTAAAATAGTCCCACCTTCATCTATTTGCCCAAGCTGGAAACCTTGATCTTTTCCCCTCAACCCAGGCTCCAAGCCTATCAAGTCGATATCTTTAATAAACTCATGATCTATCCTGTTTTCTTCATTCCCACTGTACTTGCTTGGTCTCTATCTTTATAACTTCTTGCTTGCTTTACTGAAACTGCCACCAGCCTGACCATCCTCCCTCCAAACCGTTCTCCACACTAATGCCAGAGAAATCTTTTAAAAACACAACTGTTTTAAAAAACTCATATCTGATCATCTTCCCTGTTTAGAGCCCTCCAGCCCTCATCAGGATAGGTTACGAGCTCCTTATTACAGACTACAAGGCTCTCCATTAGTGATCTCTGCCTGCTCTGCTGCTCCATCCCTCATCACTATCTTCTTTACACGCTGCACCCCACATTACACTCCCTACATCTCCCTAAATCTCCCTGCTTATCTCCTCATTGCTGGGCCTTCGTATGAGCCACAAATTCTGCCTAACTTGTTTTTCCTCCTTCTTTCCTTGACTAACTCTAATTAGTCCTTCATGACACAGCTTAGATGCTTCCTCTTCCAGGAAGCCTTCTCTATCTGCCCCAGCAGCCTCTATCTGGGTTGGGAGCTCTTTCCATCTGCAGGGAGTTCACATGCCTAGATCATAGTGTTCACCACACAGTTTTGTGATTATCTATCCAGTTCTCTGTCGCCCTACCAGATTTTAGCAGCTGAGAAGTAAGAACCATTTCTTAATCATCTTTCTATCAACCAAGATATACAGTAGGCATCTGATAAATTTTTTTTAATGACTAAGAATGCAGGTGGGATAGGGGACATAAAGAGAACATGAACGAAGAGTACAGCCACTGTAGGAAACAAGATAGAGAACAGGAACAAATAACAGAATTGCTTCATGCTCCTGAGGGGCTAGCTTACATAGGAATCCATGAATCTGCAAAACTTAATCCAAATGGGTGTGTGATTTTTCTCCAGATGTGCTCAGCAATCTGAGTGTAAAAAAAGACGGTGAATGGTTGGTCTGATCCAATAAGTATTGTATGGTCTGAGGTAGGAGAAAGGAGCTGAGAAGTTTAAAGTGATGAATACAGAAGGAAGAAAAAAAACGGAAGAAACCTAAGTACCTATCAGTGGATGAATGGATAAAGAAGATGTGATGTGTATATACAATGGAATAACACTCAGCCATAAAAAAAAGATGAAACCTTGCCATTTATGACAATGTAGATGGACCTTGAGGGTATTAAGCTAAGTGAAATAAGTCAGAGAATGACAAATACCATATGATTTCACTCATATGTGGAAGATAAAACACAACAACAAACACATAGACACAGAGAATAGATTGGCGGTAACCAGAGGGGAAGTGGGGAGAGGAGAGGGCGAAAGAGGTAAACGGACACATGTGTACAGTGTCTGATGGCAGCTAGATTTTTGGTGATGAACACGACACAGTCTATCTACACAGAAGTCAAAATATAATGATGTACACCTGAAATTTATATAATGTTATAAACCAATGTTACCTCAATAAAAAAAAATAATTAAATAAGAGAAATAGATACAGATGGAAAACAGGGTCAATATTTTAATTCTTATCTTAATACATTTTATTATTCTATAATTTTTTTTTTTTTTTGTGAGGAAGATCAGCCCTGAGCTAACATCCATGCTAATTCTCCTCTTTTTGCCGAGGAAGACCAGCTCTGAGCTAACATCTATTGCCAATTCTCCTCCTTTTTTTTCCCCCAAAACCCCAGTAGATAGTTGTATGTCATAGTTGCACATCCTTCTAGTTGCTGTATGTGGGACGTGGCCTCAGCATGGCCGGAGAAGCAGTGCGTTGGTGCGCGCCCAGGATCCGAACCCAGGCCGCCAGTAGCGGAGCGCCCGCACTTAACCGCTAAGCCACGGGGCCGGCCCTATTCTATGAATTTTTATCACTTTATATACAAATAAGATGCTTGGAAGTAGAATAAGGTATACACAAGTTCAAAATTAAATTCTCTAAAAATACAGAGAGATATTTTGTGGAGAAGAGCACGGAGGGACACAAGAAAAGGAATCAATTATATTATTAAGCAGATTAGAATACAATTAAAAGCACTCTAAACATCAACTTTCCCATTGTAAGGTAAAACATAAATTTTTCCCTAAAATCATTTTAAAGAATAACAACACATTGTCAATGTAACCAAAAAAAAAGTAGTTTTACCTGAAATATCTGTAGCCTGTTGCTAGCTTCTTGGGGTGGTATATTTGGAACCATGGGTCCTTCCTGTAATGAATTTTAATTCTTAATCATATATATTTATCAATTTATTGGGCTTATCTACTATTTCCTTTTAAATAAATAAACATTTTTAATTTAAATGGTGTAATTTTGTCCTGTACACAAAGCTTTCATTATTTTTGCAAAAACTTTATTGAAACCTGTCACGTATTATACAATCGCTCATTTAAAATGTACAACTCAATGGTTTTTAGTATATTCATAGAGTTGTGTAACTATGACCACAATTAGTTTTAGAACATTTGCATCACTCCAACTTCCATTCATTTTTAAAGGACCTTGACAAAGCCAATAAAAAATGTGACAAAATTACATCCTGTATGAAGTTTGTACCACTAGAGCTGTGTTTCATTTCATTTATGCTTATAAATGATGATGCTGTGGTTGTTGACAGAGTTCTGGGAACTTCCTCCTTTCACTAATTGTTCAGCGCAGTATAGAAATAGAGATACACATGGTTGAATATTTGGAAGAAGCAGAAGGCATCTCTGGCGGCCATGAGCCAGAAAATAGCTGCAAAAAGGACCTCAGATGGTCCGTACAATCATGAATATTATGGATACACAAAATAATAGACCAGATTCCCCATATAATAGAATGACAGGGCAATCAATTGTTGACTAATCCAACTAAAATCGGTAAGTTTAGTACATGTAAAAAAAAAAAAGTGTCATGTAAGTAGCACCAAGGGCTTAAATTATTTTATGAATTCAGATCCATTGTGACCACTAAAAGAAAGTAGAATATTTTAGGGGAATATATCCAACTTCTGAGTTTAACTTCAGAGGTCGACCATTATAATGATTATACCAGGTTGAATAGTCTGTGGGACTGACCCTGTATGACATTTATTATTTATTTTCAGTGACCCTTTTGGTTCTCTAAGAATTAGTGGAAAAAAAAAAAAATCAGTGGCATAACACCCCGGTATTAGGGTGTTTCTAGTTTCTTACAGCCTTCCAACAACTGTGCTACATTTTCAACTATGAGAATTCTGGCCCTGAGAAAAGACAACACCAGATCCTTTGATCCTTCCACAATCTCCAAAGTTGTTGCTCCGTTTAACAGTTAAATCTTCTTTCTTCCTCTATAAAACATGCTTAAAGGACTAGCTATCCCCTTTTTCGGATAGCTGCAAATATGCAAATATAGCCTCTTACATACAAGGTACAAATCATAGTGTATTTCTCAGGGTTTATCACTTTCATCTCATGCAAACATACTCCAGAACATTTTAACACACAGCATGTAAATACTTAAATTACCTTCTCATATGCTTCTGAAAAGCCCATTACATCCTCACGAAAAACTTCCACAGACTCAAGGAGATTACTTTTAAACTTTGGCTGCACTTGAACTAGTTCATCTTGTACAGAAACCTAGAATAATAAAGAATACTCAACGTGAGACTGAAAGTAATGTATTTAAATGAAAACTATAATTCTATTCCAGGAAGTTTTTTAACCCACAGGTGTCCTGTATGAACAAAGATGTCTCTGCCACGTTGTTTGTAAAAAAAACCAAGAAATAAACAACCCAAATGCATCAACAGAGACTCAAATCATTCTAGTTAGTGACCCAAGAGGCAAAGTCATTGTCTCTAACTGCAGTTAGGAAAAAGATTTCTGGCTGACCCAGCTCAGGCCATCAATGTGGCCAGGGAAACAGTTATTACTCTAGGCCAGTCTGAGTCACATGCTGTCTCTGGGACCAGGCCAAGGGCTAGGATTAGCAATCTCTAGCAGGTTCACGTGGTTGCAGTGGCTGGAGCAGTTCCCTAAAAGAAAGTGACATTAGTCCAGCTTAAAAAAAAAAAAAACAGCAAATGCCCTCCACAACGGTCTTCAATGCTTCTGCTTAAACCTTCAATTATAATAGCTAGCACTTAGTTCATGCTTACTATCTGCCAGGATCTTTACCTGTGTTAACTCTGTTAATCCTCACAACATCCCCTTGTGGTAAATACTAATATTATACCCATTTACAGGTGAGAAACTCTAAGAGAGAACAGGGCAACTTCCTCAAGGTCCCGGCACCAGTACGAGGCAAGGTCAAGATTCAAAACCTGCCAGTGAGGCTCCAGGGCCCCTGCTCTTAACTGCTCTCAACAACAGCATCTGTCTTGGTTGGACCATATACTACTTTAAGCTTAATGCTGACTGTAGTACAGAATTGTCTATCTCCACTAAAGGATGGGTCAGCGAGTTTAACACTAACAGCTGAAGAGCTGAAAGATCAACCCACATGAATTTTTTCCATTGAACAATAACAGAAAGTTGGGCTTCACTAAATCTCAGTGGAGGGTTCCCCATTTCCTTCCTAAGTCTCATTCTCTTGACGAACCAGCAAGCATTTTTTAAAACAAGTAGTTAGTCAATATTTAACACGAATTTAAATAAACATGAGTATTAAATAAGTATTTTATATACATTACCTCAAGTGAGCCTCATAACTGCCTATAAAAAAATTCCTAAAATATTCCTATTTCATGTTCATGACCACATGAAGAAATTGAGAAACAAAGGTTACTAATTTGCATAAGATCACCCAAATGGCTGATGGTAAAGATGGAATCACAAGTCATGACCCCAATTTCAGCTCTGTATCCTTGCTATTGTGTTTTGCTTCAATTTCAGTGACAAGTCTTTCCATAAACAAGAAATTTTAAGCCAATGTTAATTTAATTCGTATTCAATAAAAATTTTCAGTATAATTAAAGAATCTGGACCCTCACTTGAAGTTCACTTTAATGTCTAACAGGTGGTGTGTAAAGATTTACCAACTTCAAAAATGCTTAGAGAGGGGCCGGCCCTGTGGCTTGGTGGTTAAGTGCGCGCGCTGCGATGCTGGTGGCCCGGGTTCGGATCCCGGGTGCGCATCGAGGCACCACTTCTCCGTTCATCCTGAGGCCGAGTCCCACATACAGCAACTAGAAGGATGTGCAGCTACGACGCGCAACTATCCACTGGGGCTTTGGGGGGAAAAAATAAAATAAATAAAATCTTAAAAAAAAAAAAAAAAAAAAAATGCTTAGAGAGAAATTTATAGCTATAAATGCATACATTAAAAGAAAAAATATCTCAAATCAGTAACCTAACCACTTAAACAAACTAGCAAAGAAGAACAAACTAAACCCAAAGCAAGCAGAAGGAAGGAAATAATTAAAAATAAAGCACAAATAAACAATACAGAGAATAGAAAAACAACAGAAAAATATCAATAAACCAAAAGTTTCTTCTTTGAAAAGATCAACAAATTTGACAAACTTTGCCTAGACTAACCAAGAATAAAGGAGAAAGGACTCAAATTGCTAAAATTGGGAATAAAAGAGGGGACATCACTACCCACCTTACATAAATAAAAAGGATTATAAGGACACAATCAACAGAGTGAATAGGCAACCTATGGAATAGGAGAAAATATTTGCAAATCATATATCTGATAAGGAGTTAATATCCAGAATATATAAAGAACTCCTACAACTCAACAACCACAAAAGCGAACAACCCAATTAAAAAATAAGAAAAGGATTTGAATAGACATTTCACCATAGAAGATATACAAATGATCAACAAGCATATGAAAAGATGTTCAACATCACCTCTCATTAGGGACATGCAAATCAAAACCACAATGAGACACCACCTCACCCATTATGATGCCTACTATCAAAGAAATGGAAAATAACAAGTGTTAGTTGAGGATGTGGAGAAATTGGAACCTTTGTGGACTGTTGATGGGAATGTAAAATGGTGCAGCCTCAATGGAAAACAGTATGGTGGTCCTAAAAAAATTAAAAATAGGATTATTATATGATCCAGCAATTTTATTCCTGGGTATATATCCAAAAGAATGGAAACCAGGGTCTCAAAGAAATATTTGTACACCCATGTTTCTAGCAGCATTATTCACAATAGCCAAAAGATGGAAGCAACCCAAGTGTCCATTGATGGATGAATGAATAAACAAAATGTGATATAATGGAAAATTATTCAGCCTTGAAAAGGAAGGAAATTCTAACACATGCTACAACATGGATGAATCTTGAGGACATTATGCTAACTGAAATAAGCCAGTCACAAGAAGACAAATATTGTATAATTCCACTTATATGAGGCACCTAAAGTAGTCAAATTCATAGAGACAGAAAGTAGAATGGTGGTTGCCAGGGGCTGGGGGAAGGCAGAAATGAGGAGTTGTTGTTTAATAGGTATAGAGTTTCAGTTTTGTAAGACAAAAAAGTTCTGGAGAGTGCTTGCACAAGAATGTGAATATACTTAACACTACTAAACAGTACACTTAAAAATGATTAAGATGGTAAATTTTATATGAATTTTAGCAAAATTTTTTTTAAAACTTAATACAAACTTAATCAAGACAGTATGGTACTGCCATAGGGGTAGACATATGGATCAACAGAATAAAACTGAGTCCAGAAATAAACCCTCACATTTATGATCAACTGATTTTCAACATGGGTGCCAAGAAAATTCATTGGTGAAAGGACAGTCTTTTCAACAAATGGTAGTGAGACAACTGAATATCCACATGCTTTTGCATGAAGTTGGACCCCTAACTCACACCATATACAAAAATTAACTCAAAATATATTAGACACCTAAACATAAGGGCTAAAATTATAAAGCTCTCATAAGAAAACATAGTAGTAAATCTTCATGACTTTGGATTACACAATGATTTCCTAGATGATACCCAAAACACAAGTAACAAAGGAAAAAAATAGACAAATTGGACTTCACCAAAATTAAAAACTTTTGTGCTTCAAAAGACACCATGAAGAAAGTGAAAAGACAACCCACAGAATGAGAGAAAATATTTGCAAATCCTTTGATAAGGGACTTGTATCCAGAATATACAAAGAACTCCTACAACTCAAAAATAAAGCAACAAATAACCCGATTACAAAAAACAAGCAAAGGATTTTTTTATTGAAGTATAATTGACCTATAACATTATATTCATTTCAGACAAGCAAAGGATTTCAATTCACATTTCTCCAAAGAAGATACACAAATGGCCAATAAGTATATGGAAAGACGCTATCATCAGCCATTAGGAAAATGAAGTATTGGTACATGGGACAATATGGATAAACCTTGAAAACATTTTGCTGAGTGAAAGAGGTCAGCCACAAAAGACTACATACTGTATGATTCTATTTATATTCAAAGTCCAGAAAAGGCAAATCCATAGAGACAGAAAGTAGGTTAGTGGTTGCCAGGGACTGGGGTGAGGGGGGGAATGAGGAGAGATTGCTACTGGGTATGGGGTTTCTTCTGGGGTGATTAAAAATTTTCTAAAAGTAGACAATGATGGTAGTTGTGCAATTTTGTGAATATACTAAAAATCACTGAATTATATGTGGTAAATTTCATGAATTTGAAATTTTATAAATTTTATGAATTATAATGGTAAATTTTATGGTATGTGGATTATATCTCAATAAAGCTATTAAAACAATATAGTAAGCTTTTTAAAAGTATGAAATATATTGTTTTCTGAAGATAGTGACTTAACAAAAAATGAAAATTCAATTTGTACTTACAGCTTTGCTCTGCAATTTGTTGAAAGAATATCTCAAGGTATCAACTGCTTCTGATTCTTCTTTGGTTACTTCAACTTCAAATCTGTTTAAAATAGCATAGGCTTCCTGTGGAATGGGGGTGGAGTTGAGAAACATCACAAGGAAAGCAATTGCCAAATGATTTAGATGCCTTCTAGAGACACATTCCTATGTCTTAGAAGAAGAGAGCATATTCTAGAAGAGCGGTTCCCAAAATTAAACATATATAAAAAGCACCTCTAGATTCTCATGGACACCAGATATTGACTCTAGATCCTAGGCCTTGAAATCTGCATTTAATAAGTGCCTAGGTGATTCTGATGGAGACATAGGCAGATCACACTGAGATACTATCCTAGAAAATACTATGCTAGAAAATATCCTTAGAATCATTTTCTGCCTCTCTCTCCTCTTATATGTGATGATCTAGGAGATACTCCAAAGAAAAGAAACTTAAACGATCAAACGGGAAGGATTGGCAATTGGCTTTACCAAAAGAATTTATGCTGAAGACTTAGCTTCTATAGTCAGGAAAAAATATGATAATTTATTAAATCTTGAGGAATGGGTGGTCATCATCCAAAATTCCCAAATACTAAGATTTAAAGAAGTAGTAAAGGTATGGAGTTCGTTAGCTACCAAAGAGCATAAATTTTAAAAGGGTTTGAGAAAGCATACAATAGTCACGAGCATTGGGTACCAAGTGGAGGCAGTGTGCCAGTTCCCTAGGTACTGCGTACAATAAGGGAGTGCTTTGTCCGTAGAGAATTTAAAAACAAGTAATAAAATAAATTAAGAATCTGATTTTTCTTATTACCATGAGCCAGAAATTCTAAATAATATTAGTCATAAAATACTGGCGGTAAACAGAACAATGGCCTCCCCAATGGTGTCCACCATTCTAATCTCCGGAACCTGTGAATATGTTACCTTGCATGGCAAAAGAGACTTCGCAGATGTGATTAAGTTAAAGAGCTTGAGATGGACAGATTATCCTGGATTAACTGAGAGTGCCCTATGTAACCATAAAGGTTCGTATAAGAGATAGAGGGAAGTATGCGAATCAGAGTCAGAGAAGATGCAACGATAGAAGCAGGAGTAGGAGTGATGCCATTGCTAGAAGGGAGCCATGAGCCAAGGAATGCAGGCAGCCTCTAGAAACTGGAGAAGGCAAGGAACGGATTCTTCCCTAGAGCCTCCAGAATGAATGCAGCCCTGCTGACATCTTGATTTTAGCTCTATATGATCTATTTTCAGATTTCTGATCTCTATAACTCTACGATAATAAATTTGTGTTGTTTTAAGACATTAAGTTTACAGTAATTTGTTACAGCAGCAATAAGAAACTAATACAATACTCTTCCCTAACAACTTTTGTTGATCCAAATTTCAACAATTTACTGTTGAGCCTAAGTGGGTATCTCCCACCATGCTGCCCACCATAGGCCACTGGTCATGAGTGAGACCTATAACTGGTTTCTAAGGAAAGCCAAAGATATTTGTGGAACTTCCTTAATATGTTGGGACCGACATGAGAGTTAAAACCATTCTTTTCTGTAAAATGTTGGTGCCAGCATAAAAAACTGAAGACTGTCTAGACCAGTACAGTATTATTAATATGTTAATATTCCTGCATATACTGTTCACTGTTGATGATTGTCAAAATCCCCCCAAAGATATCAACATGAGAAAGGAGAAATAGGCAGACTGTGCCATAAAACAGATAAAGAATGTGTTAACAGAATCACTTTTTTAATGTGTATCAATCTTTTAAAAAAATAGCATTTCATGAGAGAGAAATACAACCATTTCTTACTTCAATTGGTCCCAAAGTCATGTCCATTTGAATTTCGTTATCACGGATACAAGACAAGGCTTCCATTGCAAATCTGATGTCATCTAAATCACGAATAGGTCTAGATAACTTTTTCAAGTATTCATTGATAAATGCTATCATGTCTGACATTTTCTTTTTGTATTCTTCATTCAAATATCGACAGAGTAACATCTTCCATGCCTTAGCTTCAATTGATAAGGCCAATTTCATTGGCTCTGGTGAAGACAAGAAAAGATCAAAATAGAATACAGTTGACGTTCTGAAACTATTCACTTTCTGTGTAATCTGAGCATCTATAACTGCACTGTCCAATTTGATAGTCACAAGCTACATGTGGCTATTGAGCACTTGAAATGTAGTTAGCCTGAATTAAATGTGCTATAAAGGTTACTAGATTTTGAAGTCTTAATTCCTATCCCCATGGAGTATGTTAAGCTGTGCATGAGAAGGACACTAGAGTCTATGGAGAACAATTTCGGAAATTAGTTCTAGCATTGTCCAATATGAACCTTGCTCTGTTTCTGGACATCCCATTAGCAGCCCTCCCTCATGCCCCCATTTTCTTCTAGGTAACTCCAAACAATGGAGTGTAATCTATTGTTGTGTCTGCCAAACCCTGCACCAGTTTTCTTGTTATTCTATTCGCTACCTCATCCACATGGTTAGAGAATATGTATAACCTGACCCTGTACTCTGGGCCTAGCTGATTGTCCCAGGTCAATCCTGACTTTCTACGGACCGATCAGAATCTTTTCTCGAGAGTTTGCAATGAGATTTGATGGGGAGCCATGTGGTCTAAGGATCAGAAAAAGTCGTACACAGAGGGAAGAAGAAACAAGAGGCAGAGAGAAAGGATTTCCTCAGCGTCCTATACTGTCTCTTGGTCTGGTCTACTTTTAAGGCCCAGTTGCATCTTTGATTCTGGGATACACCTTTTTTCCCTTAATGTAGCTCAAATAGGTTTCTATTCCTTGAAAACAAAAGAGCTCTAACTATTCAACTCTACGTTATCAATCCTTGCCCATTCCTCTTTTCTCCTCTCTGCACCCCTGCACTCCCCAGGCCTGCCAGGGGAAACATGACTGCTCCCCTCCCAACTTCCAACAGTTAAACTGAGAAGACTAGGGAGCTGAGGAAAGTGTGGCCTGAGAAGAGACACACAACAGCTTGTTGACCGAGGATGTGAGATCCTATCTCACGAGGTCCACACCTCCCAGGCCTCTGTTCTCCTTTTCCTCGGGCCCCAAGGATTCAGCCCGCCTTGCCCTATTTTTATAACTGTTGTCACCTATTCTATCTTTTAATTTCCTATCTCTAACATCAAGCACTCAGCCATCTATAACACTGTGCTAAAGCTGATTTGTGTATTAAGGATCATATTGTTAATCACCATGAGGAAACAAATAGGACACTAAAATAATAACAGGTAGAGTACAGTTTCTAAAACTCTACAGAAGTTCTTATAATTATTGCCCCTGATGCATAGTTTCTGATTTCTGGCTAAATAATCCCCTCAAGTCCTTGTGATTCTTCTCCAAATTAAATTCCTTCTTGATAGACATGATAATAATATTTAGTATTTATTGAACATCAACTATGAGCCAGGTACTATGTTAAGTGTCTCATATAAAGTAGTTCATGAGGTGGACACTGTCATTATCACCAGCAGAGGAGATGGAGATTAAAGAGGTCAAGTAACCTTGATAGTCAAATTTCAGAGCCACAGTTACCCTGACTCCCTGAAAATAGATCTGAAAATCCAGTTTAGGTGGATAACCGATTTTACACTGACCATTCAAATATCCTCTGAAAACAAAATCTGACAAATTTAGGACAAGACTGATTGTACCTCTGTAACCTTGGCAATACGTAGCCACCATAGCCAGTTTTAAACCCAAACAATAGACCAAGTCACCTCAGTTCACATATTTTTGCAAGCCAATCAGTGTCAGCCCCTCCCTTCTGAGCGTCAACCAATCAGGAGGGACATAATAAGCCTGCATCCGAGTGCCAACCAATCCACAACAGTTTCACCTGAGCAAGCATCCTTTTATAGATAATGTTAACCTGTTTATGCACACAATCCTTGGACTCCCTGCTGCCCAGACGCCCAAATGAGACCAGCAGTCTGCTCTGCTGGGAACACCATGCCTGAACAGCATAGCTCTCCCTCACTGCAGTAAGCAACAGAGTCAGATTGATCTTTTTATTTCAGACATTAAGTGGTTGTCTCATCATCCTTTGATACTCTAGTCCCAAGTGGATTAACTTCTCAGGAGATTACATACTGCTTGACTCCTATCTCAGGTACACAAGCCCCTCCTCACAGTAACCTGAAAAAGAGTTTCATTTGTACTTTTAGTTGTTTGACTGCCAATTGAGGAACTGTGTAGTGTATTAAGTGTATTAAGCCACCTTGGTATAATATTACATATGTACAATATATATAATATATATTATACATGTATAATATATATAACATATATATGAACAATATTGATAGTCCAGAAATATTTAATATTTATAATATTCTATGAAAGTAGCTTAATAACTGCTTTCTAAATAAAGTAACATTTCATGTGAAAATACAGATACTTTAGATAATAAATATTTTTAAATACCTGTATGCAGTTCAAGTGCTCCTACAACAATAACAGGCTTCAGCTCATCAATCTCCTGTTCAAAAGTAGCATAGTGTAGAATTTCTGATCTGATTTCAGTGAGAGAGGGGTTGTTAGCCAAAAACTCCTGTAGTAAGGAAATAATGTTTTCTTTAGCTTTTTTGACAGTACAAATCTTACTCTTATAATAGTTAAATTAGAAAATTGCATTTGCTTATATACTTTTCCACGTGTATGCGCTATCAAGCCAGTGGCTTGGTAAAGAAAAGGATGAACTGGTAGTACTGGGAAGAGGAGGCTCTATTAGGGAGTTTCACAGCCTATCACGAATGGTTATTCAGAGCTGTAAAGCTTCCTTGAGTCCCTAACCAAAACTAGAGCTGAGTCCACATAAGTGGGTCACAGCCTTGAATACCTGGCCTCTGGACATGTCTGGAACATAATTGGTACTCAATTGTTTAGGGAATTAAAAAAAATCTGCCTATGCCTCATTATTATCCATTGCCTCAGAGTGTCAATGTGAGAATTATACAAGATAGAAGGTGTTAGGTGTTTGGCAGTTAGAGGGTCCCGGCCTCTGCTCATGAGCTCCTGTCATTATCACTGATATTTTCCTGGTCCTCCCGCACAAGTTAGATATAAACAATTCAAACCTGAACTGCATCACAGGTAGCAGACACACACCTTCACTTTCACATCTCGGTCCTCAGTCCAGAGCGTCTTGTACTTTTGAAAGTCCTGCAAGGCTTCATGAGCCACCTTCCTGAGAGAATTCACAGAGGAAGAGAGGAGAAGGACCAGCTTGGAAATATCCTTGTGCTCGGCTACACCCGGATAAAAATTCTTCAGCTTCCTTGCAGGAATCATTTCTTCAAAAGATCCTGAAAACAGATGTTTTTATATATAGGCAAATTCTATATTCAACTTTACATATTATCAATTTTCAACTTTATAGACTTCTTTCAAGCTGTGTTTTCTTAAAGACTCTCCCTCCAAGTAATTAAGAGCAATTCTCTTGCTATCTTTACTTATTCTTATGAAACTATTATGTCAGATGTTGAGGTCTCAGTTTCTTTAATGTGAGAAAACTGTGTTAAGAGGACAGCACTGGGCCGGCCTGGTGGCTCAGCGGTTAAGCGCTCGCGCTCTGCTGCTGGCGGCCCGGGTTCGGATCCCGGGCGTACACTGACATACCACTTCTCCGGCCATGCTGAAGCCGTGTCCCACATACAGCAACTAGAAGGATGTACAACTATGACATACAACTATCTACTGGGGCTTTGGGGGAAAAATAAATAAATAAATAAAATTATAAAAAAAAAAAGAGGACAGCACTGAAAGACACTGATTAAAACCTAAAAAATAAAAAGTCCTCCAAAGGAGGGTCAAAAGAGTCGAAATTGCTACCCTACAGAAGAGCATGGTGGTTAAAGGAGAGCCACCACATTTATCACCCAAATGACCTTAAGCCAGTTATTTAATCTTCATGGAAATACTTGTGAGGATTACATGAGACAACATATGTTTGTCTTCAGCTCCGCGTCTGGTATACAGAGCTCATGCAGTCACTATTCACCACCACTGGAAACATTTCTCTCCAAAATCTGATCATGTCATACATATATGTATATGTATATATAATAGTATTATAGAATATAGAATAGTGGGTATGTAATTAAGATCTAATTTAAGTTTTTGCCACGTGGATAAAAGTCTCTTGCACAATTTATTAAATAGTACATTCTTTCCCCACTGATTTGTAATTCTGCCTGTCATATATCGAATTTTCATATATATGAGTGTTTTTGCTCCCTCTGTCCTCTTCATGATCTATTATCTATTAATTGACCATTAAAAAGTTGTCTTAATTAGCCTGGCTTTATAATACTGCTTGCTATTTGGCAGGGCAGAGCCCCCTACCTTGTTTTTCTTCACCAATTTTTGAGGCCATTTTTGGCTCTTTCCACTTCCATATAATTTTACAATAAAATTGATAAATTATAGGAAAAAGTCTGTTGTGATTTCACTGGAATTGTACTGAATTTGTAAATTCATCAAAGAATTGACTTCTTCATGATGTAGATTTACTCCTGTCTTCCATTATGTCATTCTGCAATAATAATTTTCTCCAAAAATGCTGTGTAAATATTATCTTACATTTATTTATTATGTACCTTATGGTTTTGTGGCTATTGAAAAATCTATTTTTTCTATCATATTTTTTCCAGATTTGTTGAGATATAATTGACATATAATTCTATTACATTTTAATTGAATTATTGGCTATTATAGAAATACTCTTTATTTTTGTATCTTGGTCTTTACACATAAACATTACTGAACTTATTAGTTATAATAGTTGTTTCTAGATTCCTTGGATTTTCTATGCATAATCTTTAAGTAAGGACAATCTTAAGTCTTCCTTTCCAATTATTATTCTCATTTTTTATTATCTGATTTCATAGTGAAGATCTCTAGCAAAATACTGAATAAAAGTGATAACAGCAGGCTTCCTTGTTTATTCTTCATTTTAATGGGAAAGAAATATTTCTAAATTTTTCCACAGATACCATTATCAGAAAATCCCTCATATTCTTAGTTTTCCAAGAGGATGTTTGTGGGTGAGTGAAATATACCCACATATACAGAAGGGTATGTAAAACATTTGTCAACAAAGAATAAGAAGTATATAAAACATATTTTAAAGAAGAAGAAGAAAAAGAATTCCACTGTACTCAGCATCCAGGAAGAAGAGTGCACTGCCAAGATATTAACAGCCCTCCGTAGACCCCTCTCCAATCACACTCCCCTCCCTTACTCCCAGAGGTAAACACTATCCTGAATTTTCTTTGAAGATAAACCAATGTGCGTATCTCTAAACAACATATGGCAACATATTTTTTAAACAGCATAATTTTTTTAAAATTGAGCAGTTAAGCACAAACCTAGCTGTAAAGGAAAGAAACATCAGTTGCCCACGTTAGATGAAGGCTCCTAGGAGAAAAGAAACTGACCAGAGTCTCTGGGTCTAGTCTTTGGCTTTCCTACATGTTTACAAAAGCCCTTTGTGGGGAAGCCACGGGGTAGCTTCACAAGTGAGTCCTATATAGAAAATATAGGTCTCATCATAATTAGGGCATCTACTAGGGCTGTATTTATGAGCCAAGTAATGGATGTCCAGCAGGAATACAGCCAGGACAGTGGGCTAATCTGTATTTTCCTAGATCACAGTTCCTTCCTTCCAGTTCTCAGTAGCATGTCAAAGAAGAACACTTTGTGAAATGAGTTTCCTCAGGTGACCCATGGCAATGGAAGTAGAAGAGCAACTTCATCAGCACATGGTGAAAGTGAGCAAGCACAGCCAAGAATATCGACCAGGCTCACCCAGGCATTCAGTACAATGGTATCAAGCATCTTCGTGAGGGCAGCCAAAACTCATCCTTCTCTTGAGTCACACAGGTGGCCCTCTATGCTTAGAATACAATTGTCGTTGTGTAATCATCCTTCATCATTCACCTGGGAATTCCCTTCACCTCTTGGCTGTGTTTTACTCCTGTTTCCAATAGCTCATGTCATCTTTTTTTTTTCCTTGCTTGACTTTCTCATTTTGGAAGAGTACAACCTTTAGTAACTTTGTGGATAAAGGTGCATTGAGGGTAAATTTTTTAAGATACTGCATGTCTGAAAAATGTTTTTATTCTACCATCATACTTGGTTGCTAATTTGACAGAGAATAGAATTCTTACTTGCAAGGTTGTTGATTAGTCCAAAGATTCCTGTGCCTAATGGTTTTTAGTTTTGCATTTAGCCTGCTATAATAATAGAAAGACATGTGGAATGAACTAGGAAAAGAATAAAGAATAATGGCAAATATTGGACTAAAAGTCAGACAATTGGATTCTAGTTCTTATATCTGGATTCATTCCCAGCCCTGTCACTAAGTTTGTGACTCTGGACAAATTATTTAACCTCCCTGAAAAAGGGATGGAATAAATATTTATTTTGCCAGCTGTTTTATGTATACACATAGACCCATCTACATGCTTTTTTCTCCTTTGCCTCTCATTTGCCAATGTTGCTCCTTCTAGGTCCTGAACAACCAGTTCAGCCATTGGTCACTGCCTAACAGTCTATATATATATCTTTGCTTCAGATAATTCCTCCCTCTTTCAAAAGGATATACTGCTTGAAGCTCTGCCCACTGGGGCTAATTCCTCCTCTCACTGTCCTTTAGAGCCACTCCTGAGTAGACTGTAGGGCAGTAGAAGTCCATTTTCAGCTCACACCAACACATCAAGCCAACTCATTGTAGCCCAGGCCTGAGATTTTTCATCCTCCATAGCTTGTTGTAGGGAACACTCCATGAGACCACAGTTATAAGCTGAGAGAGCAGAATTGGTGCAACATAGAAAGGTGGCACTGGGGTCTGGCCTACTTGCTCATATAACTTACATAGTATCTTGCTGTTTTTAAGTTGTGTTTCCCTGATTACCAGTGGAGGCAGTATTGTTTCAGAAAAAAACAGTTTGGCTTTTTTTTCCCCACATGTAAATAAGATCTTGCGATATTTCTCTTTCTGTGTCTGGCTTATTTCACTTAGCATAATGTGCTGCAGGGTCATCCATGTTGTCACAAATGATAGGATTTCATTCTTTTTTAAGGCCGAACAATATTCCATTGTAAAAAAGTCAAACTCATAGTAGCAGAGAGTAGAATGGTGGTTACCAGAGGCTGGGGGATGGGGGAAAAGGGGAGATATTGATCAAAGGGTACAAACTTTCAGCTATAAGATGAATAAATTCTGGAAACCTAATGTAGAGCATGGTGACTATAATTAATAATAATGTATTGTATATTTGAAATTTGCTAAGAGAGTAGATCTCAAGTGTTCCCACCACAAAAAAAAAAGAAAGGTAACTATGGGAGGTTATGGATAGGCTAATTACTCTGATTGTGGTAACCATTTCACAACGTACAAATATATCAAAACATCACATTGAACACCTTAAATATACACAATTTCTGTTTGTCAAAAATAAATAAAAAATTTTTTAATGTGGCAGAACAGCAAAAAAAAAGGAAAAAAGAGAAAGAAAAAAACAGTTTGGTGTTCTATACAAAAAAAGTGTCCAAACACATCCATGAAATTTTGAGTCAGTGTCATATCACACTCATAATTACTTAAGGGAATAGCTTCTATACACTTTATATACAAGGAGGCTGTGACCCAGATTTTCTAAGCACCACGTTCTAGCAAACGAAGTTTATGAGACCAAATACAATGCTGAAAGTAGAAGTAGAACTAAAGCTTACTACAATTTTTAACTTTGAGTCTAAGATTATGATAGTAGAACAGTGATAAAAATCCTTGTTCACCCATGACCAAAATCTGGAAAGAAATATCTGTATGTTATGTTTAAGATGGAAGATGGAGAACACTAGTTTTTTTCAAATGCAAAATTTAACAAATAAACATATAAAAATGACTTTCAAAAATATCTATATGCCAGGCCAGCCCTGATGGCCTAATGGTTAAAGTTAGGTCTGCTCTGTTTTGGCAGTCTGGCTTCGGTTCCCAGGTGCAGAACCACACCACTCATCTGTCAGTAGCCATGCTGTGGTGGTGGCTCACATAGAAGAACTAGAAGGACCTACAACTAGAATATACAACCATGTACTGGAGCTTTGGGGAGGAAAAAAAATAAAATGAGAGGAAGGTTGGCAACAGGTGTTAGCTCACGGCGAATCTCTCCCAGCAAAAAAAAAAAAAAATATATATATATATATATATATATATATATATATATATATATGCTGTCATACCCAGGAAGAATCTGAAAGACTATTTACTAATTTTTATAATTCTAAGATTCTATTGATGTGAGATTTGATTTAACATCTTACTGTCTTCCTTCTTCAACTGTTTCCCTGTGCTTAAATGGGTCATGTCAGTAGTGGTACGCGAGGGACTGCTAATGACAGGCTTCGTGTAATGGGTCTGCTGTTGCCCCCAGTGAGCCACTCCTCTGCTGACCTCCAGGGTTAACTGGATCATACGGTTAATGGCTTGTTGAATGTCATCCAAACTAGGAACCATTACCTGTGGAAAGAAGAAACAAGTTCCTGGGACCACCAGCACACACAATCCATCCCTCTGATTCTCACCACCCTCATTCTCCACTGAGTGGGGAAAGCCTCAGCTGGCCCAGTGGAAGGCTGCTTCGAGGAGAGGAATGTTAGAGGAGGGCAGGCTGCAGACTTACTCTGTCCTGAATTTTTCCCATTCCATCAATTTCTGCAGGCAGAAGGTCAAACCTAGTACTTGTCATCCTCTCCCTGTGAGGGTGGCTAGATGCAGCCCAAAATTATGGAGTGTATGTTGAATGTTGATGAAGCAAAATAACCGAAGAAGCTCCACTGCCAAGATTCTGACCTCAATTCCTTGAAATGTGCCAAATAAGCAAAGAAATTTCCTTTAGGAGGCCAGACTGTGTAGACGTGGTGTTAGGTGAGTCGTAGATTGTTCCTACCTGGCCTTATCCCTTGGCCCATCACAGAATGCACCTCAGTCATCCTGTGTGGCTTGGAGTTCCAGATGCCATAAGCAGCTGGGGTGGTAGTAGAGATAAGTTCCATAAGAAAGCACAAGGGATCCTTAGTGCTAAGGGCATAGGCTCTTTTTTTCTATTCTGCCATCCTTAGTGGGTTGCCTCATGGTCGCATGTTTGGGGTAGGGATTTGGACTTTTGAGATGGTCTTACATAGATAACTTAATGTCTGAAGTAAGGAAAAGCAAGAAGATTTTTCGAGTACTTGCTAACTGGTGGCAGAACAGATGCTTAACTCAACTCCTACACCAACCTTCGATACACCATGAGGTATGCAGAGCAATTTTTTATAATAGATATAAATGATAACATTTTGATTTTTGTTAAATACTGAGGTGAAGTCAAAAAATATATAGGACCAAGAGGTTACTATAAATGAAAGTTCAGTTCTATGCTATACTTCTTAAATACATTACCAAAATATCATTGTGTTATCTTGAACATTTAATAATACTTACCACATTAGGAATTGCAAGATGTACTTCAGCTTTTATAAAGGAAACAACATCTTCTGACCACTTTCGTCCATAATGGCTGTAAGAAGATGGACATTTAGCTGATAAACCTCAACCTAAAATTTCATAAATAGCTTGTTATGCTACAACTTTCAATCCTAAAAATAAAGACCATTTTCAAAATACCAAATTACACGAAGAGAATATTATTTATGATGGAATCATAAATCTCAGAGAACTAAGAAAACACAATGATTTCATATTCTTAGAAGTAAAATGTTAGTCTTATATATATTTTCTAGTAGTTTCACGTTGTTCTCTCTCCATTTAATAGTGTTTTCTACAAGCACTCCTTTTTCCCAGACCTATAACAGATGCCAGACAAGATCACCAACAAAAAGGTATATAAGAAGGTATATATATATATACTTTTATATATACTTTCTGCAAGATTAAAGAGGAGGTTTTTGGTCAAAGCCTTCCAAAAATTGCCTTTTTAAACCATATCACTCATGCTCAAACAGAAGTACGGATACACAGATACACACATGCAAATAAAGAAGGAGACACATCAGAGCTGCAAATTAGTATGGTTACCTCCCTCTGCCTTGACCTCTGTCCCCATCCCAGATAAAATTATATAAAGGTAAACTTCTCATAGCAAGAAACGCTGCCATCACTAAAAAACTATATTTCCATTTATAAATACAAGCAGATGGGGGGGAAATCACAAGAAACATAAGTCTCCACAGTTCAAAGTGGATACCCAACTTTACCACTTAGAATCAATGGTTCCGAGATAAACATATTATTGCAAGGAACTCTTTGAACTAAAAGCATGCAAACAAACAAAGAAAAAATACTCTAATTCATAGTCTCACTGTGAAATTCAAGATGCAGCCATAGAGCAAGTGTAGACTGTATTAAAAAAGGCACAATCTGAAAACAAGAAAGAGTTTCATAAAGTACAAAACACAGATGAAATAATAGAGGCAGTGACCAGCACATTAGATCATTCAGTAACTTATTGGACAAACTAGAGGATTAACTTAAGGAATTCTTCAAAATTTCAGATGCAAGAGTGATGTCAGCATCATGGTGGAGTGAGGTGTTCCCTTTGTCTCTCCCCTCTAAGTTACAACTAAATGGACATCCAGTATCCAACAGAGGATTCCCTACCCAGCACAACAGGACACCTGGGAGAGCCATGCAGCTATACATCTGAAGGTGTGTAGACTGGATGCCTGGGAAGCAGTGGAAATATGGGAGCTCCCTAGCCACCCCCGCCCCAGCAGCAGTGATCCAGGTTGCAGATCCTCACATAGCAGCCAGCACCACTGTGAGTGGAGGCAAGGGCAGCCTGTCCACACATGAATGCTCTCTGCAGAGTGGCAGTAGCCTGGCCCATGCGAACATGCCCCATTGAGGAGCTGCAGCCCAGCCCACATGAATGCAGAGCAACCAACCAGCACAACTACAAGCAGATGGGGTGGGAACAGAAAAAACAGCCCATGTCCCCACCACAACAATGGAAGGTAGAATCTGCAACCAGAATCAACAGGAACCATGGCAGAACCAGTGACCCAGCCCCCCATCATGGCAACTCTGACATCAGCTCCACCAGCAGCAGGGGCCATATACAAGTCCCTGGGTCCCCAGGCCCCCACCAATGACAGTGACACCTGTGAACCCAGCACCCCTGCCAGTGGTGAAACCAGCACCCCAAGACAACCCAGGAGCAGCAGCATAGATGGTGCATAGGACAGCAGCATCTGAGCCCGCAGAGAGCCAGTGGAGGAACATGAGACCCAAGTGACCAGAACCAAAGTTTAAAAAGCTGTACCCAAATAAGAAAAGGTGATTACTACCACAAATGCATCAGCAAAGGATCAATCCACCAAACACCATGAAGAACTACAGTAACACTGCAGAACAGAAGGAAAATGACAACTCTCCAGAAATCAAACCTGAAGTCATGGAAGACTACAATCTGACAGAGAACTCAAAATAGACATCATAAAGAAACCCAAGGAGTTACAAGAAAACTCAGAAAGACAGTTCAATGAGCTGAGGAATAAAATTAATGAACAGAAGGAATACTTAATCAAAGAGAATGAAGCTCTAAAAAAAAACCAAACAGAAATTATGGATATGAAAAACACAACTAATGAGATAAAAAACAAAGTAGAAAGCATAAAAAATAGAGTATATCTTATGGAGGAGAAAACCAGTGACCTTGAGCATAGAAACCTAGAAATACTTCAGGTGGAGGAGGAGAGAGAACTAAGATTCAAAGAAAATGAAGAAATTCTTCAAGAAATATCCAACTCAATTAGGAAAAGTAACATAAGGATTATAGGTATCCCAGAGGGAGAAGGCTGGGAGAAAGGAGCAGAGAGCTTGTTCAAAGAAATAATAGATGAGAATTTCCCAAACCTGGGGAAGGAATTGGAGATACAAGTATATAAAGCCAATAGAACTCCTAATTACATCAATGCAAAAAGACCTTCTCCAAGGCATATAATATTAAAACTGTCAAAAGTCAATGACAGAGAAAAAATATTAAGGGCAGCAAGACAGAAGAAAATAACGTACAGAGGAACCCCATCAGGCTTTCAGCAGATTTCTCAGCAGAAATCTTACAGGCTAGGAGAAAACAGAATGATATATTCAAAATTCTGAAAGACAAAAACTATCAGCCAAGAATACTCTATCCAGTGAAATTATCCTTCAGATATGACAGAAATAAAAGCTTTCCCGGATAAACAAAAGCTGAGGGAGTTCATTGCCACTAGGCCTGCTTTACAAGAAATGATGAAGGGAGCCCTCCTACCTGAAACAAAAAGGCAAAGGTTTACAAAGTTTTGAGCAAGGAGATAAACAGACAAAATCAGAAAATTGCAGCTATCGGAATAGGTTAGCAAACGCTTAATTATAACGTAAAAGATAAAAGGAAAGAAAGCATCAAAAATAACTATAAGCACTTCAATTTAGTCACAAACTCACAACACAAAAAAGAATAATTTATGACAACAAAAACATAGAAGGAGAAGAGGAAAGGGATGGAACTTGCTTAGGCCAATGGAGACAAGAGGCTACCAGAAAATGGATTATCTCATCTCTGAGATCTTTTATACAAACCTCATGGTAACCACAATACAGAAAAATCAGAACAGAGTCACAAATTATATAATTTCAGATGCAAAATACAAAGAGAAATTACTTAAAGAAAAGGTAAGAGAGAGGATAAAGATAAGAATGTTTACCAAATGCTTCATGTATGCCAGGTGCTTTACCAAGCACTTTCCAAGAATTAACACATTTCATCTTCACATTAACTCTGCGAGGTAGATCCTGTGATTCTTATTTCCATCTTGTAGATGAGGAAACCAAGGAAGAGAGTAACTTACAGACGGTCACTCAGCTCTGAGATGCCTTACTACCTACAGCCAGCATGTGAACACTACATAATGTAAATTAAAGCATAACCTTTCTCTAACTTAAGAATAGACTTGTTTTTTCATCTTGAAAAGATTCTAGGGGGGCCGGCCTGGTGGCATAGTGTTTAAGTTCTTGTGCTCCACTTCAGCGGCCCAGGGTTCACGGGTTCGGATCCCGGCTGTGGATCTACACTCCACTTGTCAAGCCATGCTGTGGCAGGCATCCCACATATAAAGTAGAGGAAGATGGGCATGGATGTTAGCTCAGGGCCAATCTTCCTCAGCAAAAAGAGGAGGATTGGCAACAGATGTTAGCTCAGGGCTAATCTTCCTCACCAAAAAAAAAAACAAAAAAAGATTCTCTGTGTGTCTGACAGGATTAATGGGAAAAAATAACCTACATCTAAACATATAATTCGTGAATTGCAGGAATAAAGGGGGAAATTCTGTAGGCATCAAAACAACAGACGTTACTTAGAAGAGAAAATCGGATTAGTAGCAAAACTCTCATCTGAAAATGGAAACAAAAGAAGACAATGAAACAGTATTTGCAGAGTGTGAGAGAGAGATTGTGACCCAAGCTGACCAAACTAGCATTCATGTGTGAGAGTAAGAGAAAGACATTATAGACAAGGGAGGATTTTGAAGTATTATACTCATGAATCTCTCTTCAAAAACCACTTAAGTACTGCAGGACTTGTAAATCAACATGGCAGAGTGAGTTCAGGCTTCAAACATGCCTCTTCGTGCCAAATACATCACAATCATGGAAAGAATATAAAGAATGCTTACATACAAGATAAGCATCTCCATGAATCAGGAATGGATCAGACACACAAAGACAGCCCAGCCAGAGTGCTGGTCGGGAAAGAGGCAGTGACCGCAGGCAGCTGGCCCCTGTGGACTATGGGACTGAAAGTCCTTCGTGTGAGATGAGACCTCAGTCAGGCTTGCTACCTGAAGCCAGAAACTAAAGTGACGTTTCCCCACTTGTAACAAGAGGCAACACAACAACAAAATAAAGTCCATCAATCTACTGCGTATAGCTGCAGCTTTTCCAAAAGGTGTGGGTCTGGGGTGACAGAAGCAAATACACAGCACCCCCAGTAAGCTACTAAACCAGGCCACTCCTCTGCCCCAGACTAAACCTGCCATATCCCAGTATCTATGCAGGTGGCAGTAACCATGAACAAATAAGACTTGGTTCTGTACTCAAGGTTCCAAGGGTCATGTGGAGGCAAAAGTGAAACTCCTAGATATAGAGGGAAGGAGAAAGAAACAGAGAAAAATGAAAAAACCTCTCGCTCAAAGAGGGGCCACAACCTAAAATCCCAATATGCATGAATAAGTCTAACAGTAAGAAAGAGGATTAAAGAAATCAATAATTGAAACAGAAACTCACTTCAGATAAAATTAAATGTATAGAAGTATTACAAACTCTAAAATAAGGATGTTCAAAGAGATAAACAAAGGCTATCCTCCATAAAATAATAATAAAGAAATTGCTAAACTAAAAAGGCAGAAATGATACAATATCTGGAGGATAAGAAAAAGTATTAATTTAAGATGCAATAGCTGAGATCACTTTTAGACTAGATACAGAGATACTCACCCATAATGTAGTCCAGAAAGGCAAAAAGACAAAATATATGACAGAGTAGTTAGGAGACAGAGAGACGGAGCAAGAGGCCCCCACATTTGAGATGACCACATGCCCAGTGTGCCCAGACAGTTCCAGGTTAAGTCTGTCCTGGCACTCCGTCTGGATAAATGCTTCTTCACTCTAAAGAATGTCCCAGTTGGAACAATAAATTACGTGGTAATCTATTCAACATTCAGCTACCAGGAGTTCCACAAGAAGAGAATGAAGGGAATGTGCTAGAAGCAATAACTGAAGAGGAAATTGCCGAGGATTTTCCAAGAGTAAGGAACACTATAAGCCCTCAAATAGACAGTGCACTCTGAGAACAAAGCAGCATTAAATAAAGACACATCCACACAGGGAAAGAAAACTGCAGAATCCCAAGGATAGAAAACATCCCTCAGTTAGATCACTGCAGGCTTCACATCAGCAACAACATAGGTCAGAACAAAGCAAAGAAATACTTTCAAAATGCTAAGAGACAAGTGAAAATTTTTTATCCAGCCAAACCGTCATGAAAATATGAGGACAAAAAAAGGCATTTTTCAGACTCAAAATGAATAAAAGAGTTTACCCCTCACATACCCTCACTAAGGCACAAGTAGGATACAAGAAATACACAAGAACCTGAAAATTTTTATAAAAATATGCCAGTAAATACATTATTTTTGAGTGTTCAAAAAGAGGTAAGCCTAAAATATCAAACAGCAATGATAAGGTAGGTACAGCTCAGTGAGTAAAGCATCCCAAGGCCCTGTAGTCAGAAATAAGCTAGAAAGCTGAAGAACTATAGGCAGTACTTCTAAAAAACTGGAGCAAAATATGTGTATTCTAAATTTAAGGGTAACCACTAAAGAACTGAAGCACAGAAAAGAGAATAAAAGGGAAAAATTATCCATCCCAAAGATAACAGAGATAATGAAGTGAACCAAACAAAAAGGATAGTAAGAAGAAAACACAAAATAAAAATTATAATTAACTGTAACTATATTAAAAATCATAATAAATAGAAACAGATTAAACTCTATTAAAAGACAGAGATAATCAGATTGAATAAAAATAATCAGATTTGTAACTATGTGAGGTGATGGATGTTAACTAAACTTATTGTGGTAATCATTGCACAATATACACATATACCAAATCATTATGTTGTACACCTTTAACAAATACCTGTTATGTGTCAATAATATCTCAATAAAACTGGGGAAAAAACGTTTCATAAGATGCTAGGTTATCAATTCCCTAGAGGAAGAAAAAGGTCTTAAAATGAAACATTATAGAGTTTATATTTTAAATGTATAATAAAAGAAATTAAATACATAAATAAATAATCAGGTATATGATGGTTTTAAGAGGCAAAACAAAAAAAACTGCACAGAAAGGCTCAAATGAAGGGATAGGAAAAGATGTACAAAAAAAGCTGGGAAAGTAAAATTAAGAACAGACTAAAAAGAATTTGAGGAATCAGGATTAATATGGATAAATAGGCTTAATGAAATAAAAATAAAAGAAACAATGTTGTAAGTAGATTTAACTACTATGACTTTGTATGCACTTAACAACATAGCCTTAAAATACATAAAAAAAGAACTGACCAAAGTAGGAGGAAAATTATCAAGTTCACTATCATATTGGGATATTTTAACAGTGAAATTAAATTAAAATTCAGCAATGAATAGTTAAGGAATAAATCTAACAAAAATGTGCAAGACGTTTACACAGAGACTTATGAAACCTCATTGAAAAATGTTAAAGAAGAGTTAAATAAATAGAGAGGTAATCCATGATTTTGGATAGTAATTCTCTCCAAATTTATCTACCAATTCAATGTAATTTAAAAAAAAAAGAAAAATTAATTTTCAAGAACTTTTGCTTGGTTAACTAATTAACCATACAGAAAAATATATACTGGTCTCCTACCTCACACTAAATACAAAAATCAATAACATGTGGATTAAATTCCTAAAGGTAAAAGACAAAACTATAAAACTTTCAGAAGACATTATGAAGTAGGTAAAGATTTCCTTTAAAAGACTTAAAAATCACAAATCACTAGGAAAAGATTGATAAGTTTGAGTATCTTAAAGAAAATATTGAATATTTTTAAACTCAGCAAAGGACACCATAAAGAGAATGAAAAGATAAGGCACAACTGAGGGACTATATTTGCTATATTATTATCAACACCCATGTATTAATCCAATTCAATAGAAAAACAGGCAGGAAAGAAAAGAAAAAAAGAACACAAATTTTAAGGAAGAGAAAGAACAAATGGCTCATAAACATGAAAATATGCTCAAACTCATCAGTAACCAGGAAAACGGTAATTTAAATCCCCATGAGATGCCATTTCACACCCCCTATGCTGCAAGGAATTGTTTAATTGAGCAATATCAACCGTGTGCAATGATGAGGGGCCACGGGCACTCGCGTGCTAGGCGTTTTCTGGTAAAGTGAGACACGCATACACCCCAGCGCCCAGCCATTCCACTCCTAGCAAGTGCAGCAGGAGATAGGTACAAGAATGCTCACAGAGGCTTTATTCACTATAGCCCAAACTGGAAACAACCCAAATGACCATCACCAGTAGAGCAGGTAAACAGATTGTGCATACTCCAACTATACAGAAGTGAAATGAAATTATATCAACGTAGATGAATCCCCAAAACAATACTGAACACAGCTCAAATACAGGCAAAATTAAGTGATACATTGATTAGGGATACAAACACATGGTACACAGTAAGGAAAATCAAGACAATGACATAAACCATCAAGGTCAGGATGGTGGTTACCTTTGGGTAGTGTTCAGTATTCTTTGTCTTGGCCTGGGTGCTAGGAACACGGTTGTTCATTCAATCACTGTTCTTGCAATATTACACATATGTTTTCATATAGTCTTTTCATGAATGGCATATTTTAAATTTTATAATTTTTGTTGTTGTTGAGGAAGATTGACCCTGAGCTAACATCTGTGCCCATCTTCCTCTACTTTATATGTGGGATGCCTGCCACAGCATGGCTTGATGAGTGGTGCGTATGTCTGCACCCAGGATCTGCACCCGTGAAGCCTGGGCCGCCAAAGCAGAGCATGTGAACTTAACTACTATGCCACCGGGCTGGCCCCAAAATTTTACAATTTTTTAAATTAATAAAAATAAGAGGTGCTATTATCATTACATTATGATAGTTAGTATTACCAGACATATTTAGCATTTCTTCAACTTGCCTTGCAACAAATATTCTTCTTTTCATTGTGTCCAAAGATAACCGTGTAGCCTTTTGAAGACTGTCTAGTAATTGATGAGAGAAAAAAGCATAGACCTCTTTACATTCCTGTAATAAGAAATCATATTAAATTTGGTACAAAAAATAAAAACTCTAACACTCCCAAAGCAACAATATTAGAAATGACATGTGAAAGATGAAAAATAATAAACTATACAATTTCAATTATATTGTAGGAGTAAATTCGTTGTTTACTAAGTTACTTGTTTATTTTTTTAAACAAGAAGCAATATATGAAAAGTGGCTTTCATAAACACCCTATCAAACCATAAGAACTTATTCAAAAGCCAAAATTCAAAAACAGTTTATTCAAAATAATCCTGGTTTGCTCAATACTCAATAATTCACTCAACAAAACTGAAGCACTTATTAAGTGTGGTGTACTTCTCAATGCTCAGGGGTGTGGGCACAAGAGGATATTTAGTCTCCATCCTCAGAAATCTCAGCTTGGTGGATAAACATATTTTAAAATGTATAATACCAAAATATATGGGCTGAAATATGGGTCTGTCCCTCTCTCCAAGCCCTTCTTTCCCTCCAGAGGAGAAGTAGCCAAGTTTATTGGTCAGAATGTAGGACAAATATAGAGCCTTGGCAGGGATCTGGGCACCACGTCTTGCTTACATAGGGAGTCACACTTCCAGGGCCAGGCTCTGGCCATATGCTACTCTCTAGTCTGCATCCTGCCCCTCCGAGACTTGGGGGGTAAGTCAGGTTGAGTTGGGTCAGAAGGGAGGGTTATTAGGCATGAACAAAGAAAAATATGGTCAGGGTTGGTCAATTACCAGGCTGAAGCACAGGCACAACATAATCAAATATTTATGTTGGATAGACCATTCTGGCAGCAGTGGGGAAGATGGACTTGAGAGGCAGAGGCTATTTAGGAGTTGACTGCACTAATGCATCTCCAGGTGATCCCCCAATTCCAGAGGTTCTGATGGTCCTCTGTCTTGCTCTGAGGAGCCCAGCCAGTGTCAAGGGGAATGCAATTGGAAGAGAAGGACTGCTGACACAGAAATACACTTCCTCTCTCCAGCTGACTCCAGCCATTAATAATAGCCACCTGGTGCGTGGTACTGAGAAGAAATCTATGGCTAAAACCTAGACTCAGCAGGAAAGTGTTTCTGGATCAACTGGTAATATCATCCTTGAGCAAGAAGGTGAAAGTGGAACAAATGTGTGCTGTTTATTTCCAAGACTAGATTAGAATGTGTGTTAGAGAGTATAAAAGTGTGTAAAATAGAGAAAGAATGAAGGGATAATAAGTATGAGGGATTAAAAGAAAACTGACAGGAGCGAGAGAAAGGAGGAATGAGTATAAATGTGGGAGTGGAATTCAGAATTGATGCATGACCAGAAGCATGAGGTCTAAGAAGGAGAAAGAAACTCCATACCTCCGTCTGAACCTTCCCTCTCAACACACCTCAACACCATGTGAAAACCTGCCCACCAGCGTTTCTCCTGGGAGAGAGTCCACAGCCCATCTATAGTGCTAGTGAAAAATGCAGATCCCTGGGCCCCCAGTGGTTCAAAATCTGGGCTTGCAATATAGGTAACTCTGCTAAACACAATAATGGAGAACAAAGTTCTCCACTCTGAGTCAGATGGACTGGCACTACGATCCCAGAAGTATGACATTTACTATATAAGAAAAACCAGTTCTGGCTGTAGAGCTGTCTGGAAGAAGCACCATTTGGGGTTATCTACAATGCTACAAGTCATAAGTCTGGGAAATGGCATGAGGTTGTTGCACAATAAATACCTTTTTAAATTCATCTTTGTCATTAACATCAACCTCAGTCACAGTACTAGTCTCATAGTCAGTGCTCTCACCCTCTTCTGTTTCGCTTCCAAAAGCAACATGTTTCTTCTGTTCTATAGAGAAAGGATAAAACAAAAATATAACATTTAATGTTGAACCTGTGGCTTATTCTATACGGCCAAATCTTCTCAGGAAACCTTTTCTTAAAAAGTTCTTAATTTTAAAAATTTAAAATTTATTCCTGTGGGAATCGTCCTTGAATTCAATTTAAATCACCCAATAGAATCATCATTCTACTAAGAAATATACTCTTTAAATACACTCTGTCTTAGTATCTAGAATTAAGAAACATTTTAAGAGGGTCTTACATATTATCTTTCTAAAATACCTGTTTACCTTTTAAGTTTTCTAACTTAACGAGCCGATACTTTCGTGTTTTTGACACTTCTGACAAAAACTAATTTAACTAAGTGGGAAAACTCCAAGAGAAAGAAGACATGCTGTGGATACTTATTGAAGCTCAGAGTTTCTCAGCCTCAGCACCATGGACATTCTCATTTGGCGGGGGCTGTCCTGTGCATCGTAGGATGTTCAGCAGCATCCCTGGCCTTTACCCACTAGACACCGGTAGCACCACCCAAAACGTGTCACCAAAATGTGACAACCAAAAATGTCTCCAGATATTTAGAATGCAGTGGCAAAAAAAAAAAAGAAAGAGAGAGAGTTAACACAGCAGGACTGAGACTGCTATCCATAAAAAGGCCTGCTTGCAAGGTTGGCATCTGGGAACCTGGATTTCAGGATTCCCACCATTCTCTAACTGATAAAAAGGGCTCGCTCTGCCTAAGCAGTTTGTGCAAATGATGTGGCGTATGCTGAACGCCTGCTTTCCTTCTGGGAGTCTGGAATTTTGGTACCTGCTAAGCAGAAGGTGCCTATTTGACAACATATATCTGTAACTCTTGTGATTCAAACACCATAACTAGTGAAATTACCTGGTAAACGTTTTGCTGTTTTCCCACTGTGCTTTACTTCATAAATAGTCTCAAATATTGATATAAGTTCTCTGACAGCTTCTTCCACATGCCTACTTTTGTGGTTTAGAATCTCAGCCCATTCTTTTGTGTATGTCTATTAAGTAAAGAAATGACTATTAATTTCCAGATACTTAAAAACCACTGTGAAAATTATTAATATGATCTTAATTTATAAAACTATGATGCCACTTGAAAATAACTAGGGAGAGTTACCAATAGTGTAATGTTTCAGACCTAAAACTGTCAATGGCTGAAGGCACAGCTGCTAAGGCCCAAGCAAAGAAAAGGAGGAAAAAGAAGAAAAATTTAAAGTCTTTGCCGTTTACCTGAGTCAATCACACATCGACATCTATAGTCACTTTTATATGGTGAAAGGAAAGAAGCCTGACGGAGTAGAGAGACGATGATGTGAAAAGTTGAAAGTGAGAAGTGGTTTTAGAAAAGGACAATTCAAAGTGTTGCTTTGAGATTCAAACGAGATAAAGTTTTTAACTGAGCATGGTGTTGTATGCCAGGCATCAATTTAAGAGCTTTATGTGTGTTAACTCAATTAAACAACAATCTCTCGGGATAGGTAATATTATTGTCCCCAATTCACAGATGAAAAAACTGAGGCTCAGAAAGAATAAGAAATTTGTCCAAGGTCACACAGTGGGTGATAAAAAGAGGGGTTTGAAACTAGCTTTGTCTGATTCTAAAAGCCTGTGCTTTGACTTTCTGAACTTTTCTAATAGTCAGCAAAGGCTTTAGGAAGAAATTGAGAACCAGTTAAACTCAGAAAAGAAAACTAGCTAATAAAATCAAATAGGTCTTTTGTGGAACAATTTTAGGAAAGAGAAAAGTAAATGGGAGCAGCCAATTGGGCCTTTAAAACCACTTCTGTAGAGGAACCAGAGCCTGTCCATGCAGACCTCTCTCCAGACAGGCCTTGGGAGGTCCCACATTTCCCATGTACCACCCTCATGTAGTCCTTCCTTGGCTACTGGATTGAGAGAGATACTTCTAAGTTTGTCATTCCCATTTATACCACCTCATCTGTATCTGAACCCATCCTCATCTTTTCTCAGTCTCAGGGGGAAATGGTGTTTCTCTTCCTACAGGAAGACATTCTCTGATCCTCTCCACTCCCACCAACTCTTCTGACCTTGCTCCAGCATTCATTCATTCCATCCTTTCTAATTTATTTAACATAGTTTTAAACCTTGGAACGACAATGGTGGCTGAGAGTCCAGCAGGGAAAATGAGTGTAAATCAAGTAGACACTTCCAGCTGATCGTGGCAGATTGGATACGTGTTTATATACACCACCACCCCACTCTACTCCCGGTTGCTTGGAAATAACCTAAGAAAGCAACCAGATACTACTAGTTAAACATGACAGACTGAACACACGTTTATCTTGGCACTCCCCTGGTATCTCTGGAAACCTCAACAAAATAACATAAAGTAATCTTTTAAAAAGAACATGCCCACAAGAATAAATGGGAGGATGCCACATAAATTCTTCTGTATGTTTCCAATACTGTATAATAATACAGTTAATGAGATTCAATAATTGGTGCTGGGACAATTGAATATCCACTTGCAAAAGAAGGAAATTGGATCCTTTCCTTACACCATACACAAAAACTAACTCAAAATGAATCATAGACCTAAATGGAAGAGCTAAAACTATAAAACTCTTAAAAGAAAACATAGGCATAGATATTCATGATCTTGGATTCGGCAAAGTTTTCTTAGATACAACACCAAAAGCAGAGCAACAAAAGAAAAAGAAGATAAACTGGACATCACCAAAATTAAAAACTTTTGGGCTTCAGAGGACACTGTCAAAAAAGTGAAAAGACAACCCATAGAATGGGAGAAAAAATTAGCAAATCATATATCTGATAAAGGACTAGTATCTAAAACATATAAAGAATAATTCATTACAATTCAAAAGTAAAAGGACAATCCAATTTTAAAATGAGCAAAGAATCTGAATAGACATTTCTGAAGGAAGGTGTACAAAAGGTTAATAATAATAAGCACATGAAAAAATGCTCAACATCACTAGCCATTAGGGAAATGCAAATCAAAACCACATGAGAGTGCTCACTTTGGCAGCACATATACTAAAATTGGAACGATACAGAGAAGATTAGCATGGCCCCTGCGCAAGGATGACACGCAAATTCGTGATGCGTTCCATATTTTTGTGAAATAAGTCAGAGGGAGAAGGTCAAATACCGTATGATTTCCTTCATTAAGTAGTAGATAGTAACAACAATAAGCAAACACATAGAGATGGAGATCGGATTGGTGGTTGCTGGGGGGGGAGTGGGGGAAGAAGGAGGGCAAGGGGGATGGTTCGGCATATGTGTGTGGTGATAGGTTATAATTGGTATTTGGGTGGTGAACATGATGTAATCTATGCAGAAATAGAAGTATAATGATGTACACCTGAAATTTATACAATATTATAAACCAATGTTTATATGTATATATAAACCAAGGCAATAAAGAAAAGATTAAAAAAAGAAAAAAAGAAAACCACTTCACACCCACTAGGAAGGCTATAATCACAAATGATAAGTGTTGGCAAGGATGTAGAGAAATTGGAACCTTCATACACTGCTGGTGGGAATCTAAAATAATGCAGCCATTTTGGAAAACAGTCCTACAGCTCTTCAAAAGGTTAAACAGGGAGTTAACGTATGACCTAGCAATTCCATTCCTAGGTAGATATCCATGAGAAATGAAAACAAGTCCTCACAAAAACTTGTACATTTATGTTCACAGCAGCATTATTCATAATGGGCAAAAAGTAGAAACTCAAATGTCTATCAACTGATGAATGGATAACAACAATGTGGTATATTCATACACTGCATTATTATTCAGCAGTGAAAAGAAATGAAGCACAGATATGAATGAACTTTGAAAAACACTGTGCTAAGTGAAAAAAAGCCACAAACAAAATACCACAGATTATCTCATTCCATTTGTGTGAAATGTCCAGAATAGGCAAATCTATAGAGGCAGAAAATAGACTTGTGTTTGCCTAAGGCTAGGAGAGTTGAGAGGAAATGATGAATGACTGCCCATGAGTGAGGGATTTTCTTTTGGGGTGATGAAATGTTCTAAAATTGTGGTGATGGTTGCACAACTCTGTGAATATACTAAAACCACTGTATTGTACACTTTAAATGGGTGAATTATGGGTACATGAATTAGATCTCAATAAAGTTGTTAAAAAATAATAATTAGTGCCAGAAATAATTCGAGTAAGGAATTGGAGAAAAACAATGAAGATAGGAAATGAAAGATGGGTGAGTGAAGGCAGCATGAGTGAGAATTTGGAAAAGTGTGGTTGTGAATGAGAAGTGAAGGGAAATGTGGGAAGGTTTTTGTTTGTTGGCAAGGAAAAGGTGAGAGCATATTAGACTGCTGGTAGGAAGAGTCCAGTGGAGAGGACAAAGTTGAAGATATAGAGGAGAAGGAGGGAGACTAGTGGAGTAAGTCTGCAGGAAGGCAAGAAGGCATGGATCTAGAGCCCATTTGGAGGACCTAGATTTTGAAAAGAGGTAGGAACTTTCTCCAAGAAACCAGAAGGAAGGAACAGTTGGATGCAGAAGCAATTAACAACACACCAAGAGCTCTGACTGTGAAAATTATTTATACAACTTTAATTTAGAAAACTATAAATAATCCCTGCAACTCTGTCAATGCCATCTTGCAAACACTCCAGGTGCTGGTTATTCTCCATTTGCCCCCTGTCAACCCATTCTCAGCTCTTCTCTGCCCTGCTCTGTGCAGAGGGAAACTGGCTCCTGGGGCTGCCTTATTCTCTGATTTCCAGTTGGGTTTGACCCAATGGGAAGCATCAGCAGAAGCTAGGAGAGCTGGAGGAGAGAGAGGATGGTGTGTTTTTTCCCACTCCCTCATTGCTTGGAGGCTGCCTCTCTATAGATGCTCTCTCTTCACAAATTCACCTCCTACAGGATGAGCCCTTCCACATGGCTCCAGCTTCTACTGGGGTCTGGAAGCACTATTTCCTCCCTTGATCCCTTCAGCCCCAGCGGCAATGATCACCACTGGGACTTCTGGGCTGTCTCACCTTGCTGGGATCTTCACTGGTACTGTCCCATACACAATATTCCCAACCCCATCCTAGTGCCTAAACCCTGATCAAAGAACACTTGCAAAAGAACATATTTGATCCTTGCTGACTTGGATCATCTCAAATAATCAGGACAACTCACACTGCCATAAATGCCGGGGATAAGAAACTTAGCTGTACACACACTCCACTGCAGAGAAATTTCCCGTGTCAGCTGCCAACCCAGGGACCTAGCCATCTTCTTTTGTTCAACAAGTGGCACAATAATGCCACTGCAAAAACTGCCTATGTACCATGTCACTACCAGTTGAGGCCACACAAAGTAAAGCATCCTTTCCAGATAAGGGCCCCATCTCTTCTTGGGAAGACTAACTAGTCCTTGAAGATTAAGACCATTCTCACAACTCCGTGAAGAACAGACTGAAATACTGAAGGGCAGTCCAGGGACAGACTGGAAGACAGTCAACTGATTTTCTGGGGGTTTTTTTCTATTTTTTTAAATTGACATATAATTGATATACCACAAAATTTACCCTACTAAAGTGTACAGTTCATTGGCTTTTAGTATATTCACAGAGTTGTACAACCATTACCACCATCTAATTGCAGAACATTTTCATCATCCCAAAAAGAATCCCTATACCCATTAGCAGTCACTCCCCATTCCTGCATCTCTATAGCCCTGGTAACCGCTAATCTACTTCCTGCCTCAATAGAGGTGAAGGGGAGGAAGACCATCCTCTACCCACTCTGGGTCCTTTCTGGCTGGGCTACAAATTAAATTGACATGAGACCAAATAGCAGGAGAAAATCAAACAAAGCTTTATAACATGTATACATGGGAGAAACCAGGGAAACTGAGTTTCTCGACAAATGGCGGAGGTTTTCGCATTAAATAGTATATTCAGATAGACAAAGGAGGATGTTGGGGTAGTGGTTTGGGATTTCAGAGGGAAAGAAGACAATTTACATGGAGATGGAAATGCAAATGT